TAGTACAAGCAAGAGCAAGCTTAAAGAGTTTAAACATAATCGGTATTTAAAATCCATGCCCCCTTGAGAAAACTATAGGAGAATCTATGATCTGAGCAACTAACAACAAAATCATTACAATTAAATCCCAACCAAAATTGACCCAGCAGTGTGTTATGCCTATAGTCGTGAAGAACAGGAGTTCTACTTGTACAGAAGACTTCAACTAATGTAAGTGACAGAGTCACAGCGAGTAACAAACCAAAGTTAAAAACCCTAGCAGTAGTGACCCAAAACCTAATCACAAAGCATAGATCTATATGCAAATCCAGAACTCAATACAAAGTTCAAGAAAGATGCTTACACGGAGATTAAGGTTTTTGTTCTTGGGTAATCGCGTAAGAACTAGGGTTTATCGGTCCAATCCTAAAGCCCGCGTCCCTCTCAATGCAGCTCCTATCGACAAAAGTGTTTTCCAAAACGCCGCGCGTAAGCACAAGGGCAGAAACCTCGGGATCGGTAGGGAAACCCTAGAGTTACTGTGAGAGAGAGCTTGAAACTGTCGAAGGAGATATATGAGAAAAGAAATTTCAATTTCGAATACAGAGAAGAAGCGGGTGGGGAAGAAGGGCAAAGGCTAAAGCTAGCAACAAATTACCATATTTCGAAACCACCCCTTCAACATTGGGTTTTTATCTCAAATAACCTTGTTGTCCAAAATAATTTAATTGCCTTAGTTCTATTAATTTTTATTTATAGTGTATTTATGTGATGATATTTTGTTATTACTTTTTCAGTTTCACTTAATTGTTCGTTCATGTTTTTGAATCACTAACCATATATCATGCATGATGATTTCTTTATTTGATGTGTCGTAATATTTTTGCTACAACTTTAGGTGAAATAATATAACAGGCGGTTATGGATCCAATTAAATGAATCGCTTAAAATTAAAACTTCAAATACATAATTAAATATATATAAGATTAAAATTATATAAAAAATTAACAAGCATAAAAATTACTAAAAAATGAGGTTGGAAATAATTCAACTACAAAAAGACCTTAAAATATTTTTTGAGATTAATTTCCATAAACATTGATTCATTGCATCCATGTTCTAGTGCACAAATACGTTATATGTAGTGATTGGAATCATATTATAAAGACATATATTAATGGGTTATTGGGTTTCAAACTAGGTAGAACAAATAATGTTTTTCTGGTTTTTTAGCAACAAGACAAAAATATAATCTACTAAATAAAGTAAAGAATTAGAATATACAAACAAGAAAAGAAATCATTTAGACAAAAGAAATTTTTAACATTTTTACGTTACGTTGACTTTCTACAAACATCATGAAATTTTGAATAAATGAAAGTGTATTATGAACTGTCTGAATTGTTGATTAACCTGGATTTTTAATTTATTTTATTTTTACACAACCTGAAATATAGATTATAAAGTTAAGGTAATAAAACAAAACTATTGGAAAATTCAGGGGTTTACATAAAATGAATCATATCGATGGGGTGAATTTAGGAAATATGGAGTTTTGAGCTTTTGCTTTGCCCTTCCCCACCCGCTCCTTCCTTTTATTCGAAAATTCACCTCTCTCAGTCTCTCATATCTCTCTGCCTCCTTCCACATTTTTCTTCTCAAGTCAGACTCAGACTCTCTCTCTCTCTCTCTCTCTCTACAACTCTAGGGTTTCTCTGATCTAGAGGATTTTTCCCTGCTCCGAGCGGAGACTTGGAGGATATTTTTCTCGATAGAATTTGCGGTGAGAGGGATAAGGGGTTTTGGATTGAAGCGAAAAACCCTAGCGCTTTGGCATTTTCTCGGGCGATTGAACCTTAATTTCTATGTAAGTCTCTTGCTTGAACTGTGTATTGAGTTTCGGATTTTCATATAGATCTATGCTTTCTGATTAGGTTTTGCGTCACTACTTCTAGGGTTTTTTTTTCATATAACTTTGGGTAGTTTACTCGCTCGCTCTGATTCGCCGCTCATTTTTTTTCTTTATCTTTGAAGTCTAGTAGAACTCGTGTTCTTCCGGACTAAAGATGCATATGCTTTTTCCGAAGTTCAAAGTAAACGTTGAGTCAACTTTGGTTTCGATTTTTATATTGGGATATTTTTTGTCATGATTTTAGTTTTAATTCAACAGAGCATCGATTCTCCTAAGTTCTCTCAGAGTCTAGATATGTGTAAACTCTTAGCTTGCTCTTTGTTTGGGCTCTTTAATTTGAACCTGAGGATGGTTTGTTTAGTACCATTGCTTTCTATGTTTCCCATTGCTTTGTTCATTAGCTTTTACTTTTCTTAGACTAGTGATGGATGTTGTTCAATTTGCGATTGTTCTATCCCTGATTTTGGTATAAGTCTTTGTTATGCAGAGAGAAGAATGGCGATGGAGATTACTCAGATCCTCTTGGCCGCCCAGTCAGCCGATGCAAGAGTCCGTACTGAAGCAGAGGGTAGTCTCAGGCAATTCCAGGAACAGAACTTGCCGCAGTTCTTATTATCATTGTCTTGTGAGCTTGCCAATAATGATAAACCTTCTGAATCACGTCGACTAGCTGGTATTCTGCTGAAGAACTCTCTGGATGCAAAAGATTCTACCAGAAAAGATCATCTGGTGAAACAATGGTTTGCTATTGACGTGGCTCTTAAATCCCAGATCAAGGAACTGCTACTAACAACTCTTGGTTCATCTGCCCTCGAAGCGAGGCATACTTCCGCACAGGTTATTGCAAAGGTTGCCTCCATTGAAATTCCTCAGAAGCAGTGGCCTGAACTTGTTGCATCGCTGCTTAACAATATGACCCAGCAAGGCAGTCCCCCACACTTGAAGCAGTCTACCTTAGAAACTCTAGGCTACGTCTGTGAAGAGATATCACATCATGATCTTGTGCAAGATGAAGTGAATTCTGTCCTCACAGCAGTTGTGCAGGGCATGAACCAGTCTGAAAATACCGCAGAAGTTCGTCTTGCAGCAACAAAGGCACTGTTGAATGCCCTGGATTTCTCTCAGACAAATTTTGAGAATGAAATGGAGAGAACTTACATCATGAAAATGGTATGCGAGACTGCATGTTCCAAGGAAGCAGATATCAGGCAAGCTGCATTCGAGTGCCTTGTGTCCATTGCATCAACATACTATGAGGTTCTGGAGCAATACATGCAAACACTCTTTGAGCTCACATCAAATGCTGTAAAGGAAGATGAAGAGAGTGTTGCCCTCCAAGCAATTGAGTTCTGGAGTTCCATCTGTGATGAAGAGATCGACCGTCAAGAGTATGACAGTCCTGATAGTGGTGACTCCTCCCGTCCCCATTCTTGTTTCATAGAGAAGGCTCTTCCCCATTTAGTTCAAATGTTACTAGAAACTCTGCAGAAGCAGGAAGAGGATCAGGATCATGACGATGATGTCTGGAACATAGCTATGGCTGGTGGGACATGCCTTGGTCTTGTTGCCAGAACGGTTGGGGATGGTATAGTCCCTCTTGTAATGCCTTTTGTTGAAAGAAACATAAGTTCCCCAGAATGGCGAAGCCGGGAGGCAGCCACTTACGCTTTTGGATCAATTTTGGAGGGGCCAACAATTGATAAGCTTGCCCCAATGGTTGCTGCTGGCTTGGAATTTCTCCTTAATGCAACCAAGGATGGGAATAACCATGTCAGGGATACAACTGCTTGGACTCTGAGCCGTATCTTTGAATTTTTGCACTCCCCAGACAGTGGCTTCTCTGTTATATCACCCGCAAACCTCCCTAGAATTGTGAGTGTATTACTAGAATCAATTAAAGATGTGCCAAATGTGGCAGAGAAAGTGTGTGGAGCAATATACAATCTTGCACAGGGATATGAAGATGCTGGAGCAAGTTCGTCTCTTCTCTCTCCTTATCTTACAGAGATCATCACACATCTGCTTGCAGCAGCTGAGCGTTCAGATGGGGCAGAGTCTAAGCTAAGAGGTGCTGCGTATGAAACCTTGAACGAGGTTGTTCGGTGTTCAAACCTTTCAGAGGCCTCTAGCATCATAGCGCAGCTTCTCCCTGCCATCATGAAAAAATTAGCTGAGACGATGGACCTGCCGATAATATCAACTGATGATCGTGAAAAGCAAGCAGAACTCCAGGCTTCTCTGTGTGGTGTTCTCCAAGTCATAATCCAGAAGCTGAGCGGCTCGGATGAGACAAGACCCATTATAATGCAGAACGCGGATGACATCATGAGGCTGTTCCTTAGAGTGTTTGGATGCCATAGTTCAAGTGTCCACGAAGAAGCCATGCTTGCAATCGGTGCTCTTGCCTATGCGACTGGAGCTGAGTTTGTGAAATACATGGCTGAGCTCTTTAAATATCTCCAGATGGGACTGCAGAATTTCGAAGAATACCAAGTCTGCTCAATCACCGTAGGAGTGATTGGTGATATTTGCCGTGCCCTGGATGAAAAAATCTTGCCGTTTTGCGATCAGATCATGGGTCTCCTGATACAAAACCTTCAAAGCGATGCACTCCACAGATCAGTGAAGCCTCCAATATTCTCATGCTTTGGAGACATTGCTCTGGCGATTGGTGCTCATTTTGAAAGGTATGTAGCTCCAGCCATTCAGATCATGCAGGGGGCTGCTCAGGTGTGTGCACAGATGGACACGCTTGACGAGGAGCTTATGGATTATGCAAACCAACTCCGGAGAAGCATCTTTGAGGCATACTCCGGAATACTACAAGGGTTCAAGGACACAAAAGCCGAGCTCATGATACCTTACGCTCAGCATCTCTTGCAGTTTGTTGAAGTAGTATCCAAAGATTCCCTTAGGTACGAACTGTATGTTTTCAAAAATATATCATATTATAGGATTAGCTCTATTCAGTTGAAAAACTTATCACTGTTGGTTTGGTTTTGGGAGC